TGCTTTGCATGGAATAAAAACAGGAAAAAAACGCCATCCCCAAACCATTCCCAGAACCCCCAATAAAGAGCTTTTAAAGTAAAACTTATTTTTTCCCTCTATGAGAACAAATGGGAAACTAAAACTTTCGAAAGAAGAGTGAAAAATTAACTAAAATAGGTTGAAAAAAAAACAAACAAAAAAAAAGTTAGAACAAAATAGATTCAAATGAAATAGAACAGGATCAAATAAAATAAAACAGAGTAAATAAAGTGTTAAAACAAATGCATTAAAAGTTAAAAAAATACGTGTTTTAGTAATTATTACAGGATTAAACATAAAAGATGAAAAAAGATTACTAGAGCCAATCAAAAACGGAGCAAAGCAGGTCTTAAGTTTTCCTTTGAAGCAGAAACACTCCCAGAAATGAGCATGAATCAAATCCCTTTTTTTCTTTATCGCTTCATTTAATTGCTGATGTATTTGGACCATAAAAAAGGCACATTTCCGTTGTTCACATGCTTGTTTGAGCACACATTTATAAATGTCCCTTCAAAGGAACCAGGGAGCCGTGTGTTTGCACACAGTCACGATCAAGCCTGCGAAACAAGCCCGATTTGGACAATTTCTGCCTTCCCAGTTCACAAATCAGCCGGAATCACGTCAGGTGCAACATTTGGAGCGTTATCACCTAACAAAACAGCCTTTTTCCTCCTTTTTAGAAGCTCTACTGAGGTGGAAATGGTCATTTTGGTGGACGTTTTCATTGCCTGGCGTGGAATAAACGATAAAATGGGATTAAAATGGACTGTAAACTATGCTTAATCCATCTATCATAAACACAATCGAGTTTGTTAACTGGGAACAAAACCCAGAGGCCTAAGACACTTAAAGTCTTAAAGTGGATCCTTTATCGACAACAGGCTCAAGGACCTGTTTTCACTAACTGCAGTCCTGTTCATGCAGGTGTACTTTCTTTACTGTTCTGCATATTTTCTCATGTACGTCAGGTGTTTTTTCTAAGATGAGAAAAACCCTCCAGGCGAGTTCCTCATAAAACAGAGCCCTTTTGCTCTTTAAAGCAAGAAAAACTTCTTATTCACCATTGAAAGATTCAAAGTTGCAAAAAGCTTTATTCATCTTGGGGGATATTGCTGTGCAACACTTGAGATACAAAGGTGAAAAATAGACAAAACTAAAGAAGTTAGCAATCCTTTAAAGTGACCAGAGATAAATCATATTAGCATAATAACAATTAGCATAACTGCTAACTCCTTTATTCACCATTTAAAGAGGCAGCAACACAAAACAGATGCTTTTTCCCATTCACAAAAACACCTTTCAGAGTCATTTCAGAGCTTATTCATGCATCAAACTGTCTCTGTTAGGTGGAGATTACATGCAGAGTGTTTTGCATTTTGAGCTGTAAAGACACACCTGTACGGAGGCCGTCAGCTCAGATAAATAACTGATAAATAACCTTGATGACAGGGACTGAGGCAGCCTGGGGCAGAAAAACAAAAAATAGAAGAGCAGGAACACTTCAAAACTGAAAGGTTCACAGTGTTCTGACAGAGGGAAGCGAATGAAGTCAGATTTCGGCCGGAAACTAATCGAACCAGAGCCAGAAGAGGCTGAACGTACCTGTTCTCACATTCGTTTATCAAAATATTATCAGAATCTGATTTAAGTCTGCTGTTGTCCTTGGATCAGTTTGACCCGTTTTGATCATTAATATTTTCTAACTTGTTTTTTTTCTTCATAAAACCGGCTGAAAATGACACAAATGGTTGAAATGCAGCTGTTTAACCATCGACCTGTGAAAAAAATTCACAATTCATGCCTTCATTTTTTTTTATAAAGTACAATTTTAAGTAAATGAAATCCGTTATAGCAGAATAAGTAAAAAATAGACATACATTTTGTTAAGACAAGTTATTTGAAAATGAGAAAATAAAACATTTGCAGTTCAAAAGTGGTCAGAACAGACCTGAGAGGACAGAAAGTGTGAAGTTAATTTATTTAATAAAGATTTAATGTTGTTTTAGCTCACTAATTGGCTTTGTTTGGTAATATCTGAATATATTTTTCTCATCTGACTACCACTCATCTGTTTTCCATCAACCTATGAGAATAATTCTCTATTTATGTCTTTTTTCATAAAAAAAAAGGAACAAGCTTAAGTAAATTAGGTCTTTTGAACCATTTATAACAAAGATAAGTGTTAAAAAATATAGAGTGAAGTGTTGTTTTTGTTATTAAACTGTACTATTTCATATAATTATAATGATAATAATATGTGAATTGGAATTTTTCTCAATAAATATCAGTTCTCACCAGTTCCCAGTTGTCCACTGTGACACCGTTCATTCTGTTGATCCTTCATATCATCTAAAACAAATACGAATATTGAGTGAAAGCACAAGTGCTCTGTTTGGGGACAAAGGTCCACACATCTGGCGGCAGTCAGCTCCCAATAAACAAAACATCAACCCCCCCAAAGTTAACTGGAGCTGGCAAAGCTCTGGATGTTCGGGCCTTCAGCCCAAAGATTTAATCGTAAATTAATCCTAAAACTATCTCAGTTTTGTTAGAAAAGCAGAATACATGTCTCATTGTCGCTTTTAGACCATCAAAATCTGCCACTTGAAAGCCAGATGTGCAGCCTTCTAACCCCCGCCCCAAACATCTGCTTTTTCATGCTGATGGCAGAATATTTATTTCTGAAGATTTTAAAGCAATTCATCCAGTTTTTGACCCTTAAAACCCGGATATCTGATAGCTTGTTAACACTTGACCTTTCAGTTTAGTCTCACAATCCTTTTTTCTAATGGGGTCAATTTGGGAGGGATCAATTATTTAAGCCTAATAGGAGACGGGGAGGGTGGGGGGGGTGGAGAACGAGGAGCGAAACCCCTTCCAAAGGGCTCCAATGACAAGCCCCAGTGCCCTTGATTCCAGTCCCGGTCACCCGGTTTAGAAAAAAAAGGTGACCTGCCTCTGTCCCCGGACTTCTTCCGCCGTGACATAAACACCGGTGTTGTTCGATTGTGCTGCAGCTGTCCGCTGCCGCTTTAAATACGACAGATCTGCAAAGGGCGGGCGGGAGAGGGGGGGGGTCAGCTGCCACTATTTCTGTTCGCGAACATTGGCAACGGTCACAGATGGTGGTGAATCATCGAGGCCCAACTCAACCCAAAAGGCGGCGCGATGAAGATTTATGCCGGCCGGTGAAGTCTTCCCGCCCCGAAATAGCTTGATCCATAATTCAACTTAGCGGACCGGCCCCCCCCATCTACGCCAAAAAGGAAATGGAGGCCGCCTTTGACAGAGAGAGGTGGACAGGAGACGGGTCCGTACGGCCGAAGGCTTTTTTTTTTTAGGGTTAGTCCTGCAGACCCACGGCGGTTTTATCCACGCGTCAGATTGTTTTGGAGAAGGGCAGAAAAAATCCCAGGGACACCGGCCAAAACAAGGCCATCTGCTTGAGATTTTCTGCCTGTCAAGGCTTGTGTTACATGCAGCCGGGGGGGCAGATTTAGCCCCGCCGAACTGTGATTCACTGGGAATGCAAACATTATCAATTCAAAAGGGAGAATCTGTAAAGCGGCCCGGTCAAAAATGAGCATCGGCTCTCTCCGGCCTCTTGACCTGGCCCAGAGTGTTCTTACCAGGTCATAAAATGAGAATGCAAGGAGTCACAAATATGATTGACCAGCATCTCAACTCCAAACAAACGATGGAAAGTGATCAAAAGTTGAAATAAGGATACTTTTAATAGCTTATTTCAAATTTCACGTGTCCAAAAAGGTGGGACAGGTCCTTGTTTCCCACCTTCTGGTGAGGCCAGTTGACTCAGTTAGGTTAAAAATAAGTCACTAATTAACCCAAAAATGGGGCGACGGTCTGTGTTGGTTGGATTTCCAGATAATTTACTGTCCCAAAGTTTTACAGACTTCCAGGGTTTAATCCTAAACCAAAGGTCAGCCTGGGATTAACCCTTTCATGCCAAGTGGACGCAGCTCTTTAAAAGTCGTTTTCCTGTATATATGTGGATTTTTATGCCTTAAATGATCACAAGCTGCTGAAGTAGAGGCTGGTGCATCTTGCAATAAGAACAAAAAGGCTCCACATTAACATCCTGTTGACGAGAAACTGAGGGAGACTAAAAAAACGAGTGGGAGAGAGAAAAGGGAGGAGAAAGTAATGAGCAGGATAAGGGCAGTTCACGTCATAACATTCAGTATTTCATTAGAGAGAAAACCTAAATTGAATAAACACATTTTTATTTTGACCTAAAAGAAAAATAAGTTACCTTTTTATGCTTGAAAAAAATCAAAAACCCTTTGAAAAAAATCCTGAAATGATCGTAATTCGTGCATCAAAGGGTTAAACTGGGCAGGAAAGAGTCCGTTTTACAACTAAGCTGAAGAAGCCTCTGACTGAAGAGACTCTGTTTTTCTGTTTTCAGGCTCATGAAGAGGACAGTTGTCCATAATGTTCTTTATTTGATGCAGATTCCTTTTTTGCTTCATCATCTCCGGAGCTTCCACAGTCATCCCCCTTTTTGATCTGACCTGAGCTTTAAACAAGCTGGACGTCCACGATTTCCAATAATAAATCTTTTTAATCCATCTGCACACAGAACTTTCCATTTTGCCTCACAGTCGCTTTTTTAATGAGCTTTAATCCGGGAAAGTGTCTCTGGACCGTGGCCACATCTGGCTTCACGGTGGAGCTTTAACCTGCATTTGGGAGCTGTTTTCACAAAAAAAGTATTTCTGGAAGAGTTATGAAGGTAAAAGAAACATCCAGTACTGATTTTTTGACTATTCACAGAGCTGTCTGAAGCATTTTGATAATATTATGTACAAAAAAGACGGAATATTCAATGAAAATGTTCTAGAAATGGTATAAAACTTTTATTTATGTGGCCATAACAGATTTAACACATAATAATTTCTATAAAATTGATTTCAGAATAATGTAAAAGATTGCTTTGTAAGTCGCTTTGGATAAAGCGTCTGCCAAATGCATAAACATAACATAAACATAAAAAATTAAAGGTCGGATTAAAGTAGACTTGACTTAATTAAATCCAGTTTTAACAGGAAAAATAGTCCCTTCATGGAACTCATTCCTCATATGGTCCTCACAGGGTAAAATCACCACAAATATAATGCTTTTTTATTACTAAAAACACACATCTGCACAACAAAAACTCTTTTTTTTTTTCCAGTACAAACAAAATCTTTTTAGAAATAGTATAAAATGGATTATTCACGGCTGATATTTCATCTGAAACACAGTTTAAGCATTCGGGATCTGTGCTGTATTTTGGATACGCGTACAAAATCTTATCATACAAAACACATGTCATGACATTCAGCTCTTTGATTGAGATACAGAGAGTCATGTCATGAATCAGGGGGGGGGGGTTTGCGGCTATAATCCAGCCGGTTCCAGCTTCCTTAGGGCGATTCCTCGGCCGTTTCCGTTTTCATCCCGGTCAGTATCTCCTCCTCCCTCCTCTCTGAGGTCCTGCGCGGCGGCGTCTTCCGTGGGGACGGCGCCCCCGCGTTTGACGTTGAAAACGTCCCACTCCTCGGGCAGCAGGCCGCGGCTGAAGATGAACAGCGCCAGCCAGGAGAAGCCCAGGATGGTGAGCAGGGTGCAGAGCATGGACACGGTCCGGACGGGGGACTTCTGGACGTAGACCCCGTCCTCCAGCGTGCAGCCGGGGAGGCGGAGCACCACGGGGATCCCCAGGGCCTCCTCCCCCAATAGGACCCTCAGGGCGGCGCCCGCCACGTAGCCCGCCGCCGCGCCGTAGCCGTTGGTGGTTTTGCAGAAGAGCATGGAGACCAGGTGCGGGAACATGAGGGTGTAGGACACGTCGGCCCCCAGGATCCAGAGCACCAGGGTGCTGTTGGTGTAGAAGGTTATGGACGTGCCCACCAGGCCCACCACCACCACCGAGACCCGGATCACCCACTGCATTTCAACGTCTGAGGCCTGGAGGAGAGTTCAGAAAAGTGGAGAGGCAGAGGGAAACTCGGGCCCCCATGAGCCACCAAAAGCCAGGCCTTTCTCTCCTTAGCCAGGCCTTGTTCTCCTTAATGAGGCCTTTCTCTCCTTAATTGGGCTTTTCTCTCCTAAACCAGATCTTTCTCTCCATAGCCAGACCTTGCTCTCTTTAAACAGGCCTTTCTCTCCTTAATCGGGCCTTTCTCTCCTTAGCCAGGCCTTGTTCTCCCTAGTTAGGCCTTTCTCTCTTTAGCCCCTGAGCCACCAAAAGCCAGGCCTTTCTCTCCTTAATTCGGCTTTTCTCTCCTTAACCAGATCTTTCTTTCCATAGCCAGACGTTGCTCTCTTTAAACAGACCTTGCTCACCTTATTTAGGCCTTTCTCTCCTTAACCAGATCTTTCTCTCTTTAGCCAAGCTTTGTTCTTATTATTTAGGCCTTTCTCTCCTTAATTTGGCTTTTCTCTCCTTAACCAGATCTTTCTCTCCATAGCCAGACCTTGCTCTCTTTAAACAGACCTTTCTCTCTTTATTAGGCCTTTCTCTCATTAACCAGAAATTTCTCTCCTTAACCAAACCTTTCGCTTCTTAATCAGGCTTTGCTCTCTTTAAACAGATCTTGCTCTCCTTATTTAGGCCTTTCTCTCATTAATCAGACCTTTCTCTCCTTAACCAGGCCTTTCTCTCTTTAGCAAAGCCTTGTTCTCCTTAATGAGGCCTTTCTCTCCTTAACCAGAAATTTCTCTCCTTAACCAAACCTTTCTCTCCTTAATCCGACTTTTCTCTCCTAAACCAGATCTTTATCTCCATAGCCAGACCTTGCTCTCTTTAAACAGGCCTTTCTCTCCTTAGCTAGGCCTTGTTCTCCCTAGTTCCACCTTTCTCTCTTTAGCCCCTGAGCCACCAAAAGCCAGGCCTTTCTCTCCTTAATCCGGCTTTTCTCTCCTTAACCAGATCTTTCTTTCCATAGCCAGACCTTGCTCTCTTTAAACTGACCTTTCTCTTTTTATTTAGGCCTTTCTCTCCTTAAACAGACCTTTCTCTCTTTAACCTGAAATTTCTCTCCATAGCCAAAACTTGCTCTCTTTAAACAGACCTTTCTCTCCTTAATGAGGCTTTTCTCTCCTTAAACAGACATTTCTCACCTTAATCAGAGATTTTTCTTCTTAACCAAACCTTTCTCACTTTAACCCGAAATGTATTTCCTTAATGAGGCCTTTCTCTCCTTAAACAGACCTTTCTCTCCTTAATCAGAACATTCTTTCTTTAATCAGACCTTGCTCACCTTATTTAGGCCTTTCTCTCCTTAATCAGACCTTTCTCTCTTTAGCCAAACCTTGTTATTTTTATTTATACCTTTTTTCTCCTTAACCAGACCAGGGTACAAAATGACCGTTCAACCACGCTTTATTGTCCGGCCATAGGAAAATCAAAAGCTGAGCTCGTGGGCTCAGCTCAATGGGTTAGGACAGGTAGGAAAATGAAGTTTTTATATTAAATACATGCAAGATAAACGGAGAATCGACAAAAAAAAAAGTCTCACACAGACAGAATAGAACCAACTGGGCTGCTTTTGGTGAGCTAGCTAACAACTTTTCTGAGCTTTTAGCCTTGCTGGCTAACACCAAATTCCCAAGAATTTCGAGCCATAACCAGACCTAACTCTCCTCATTTAGGCTTTTCTCTCCTTAACCAGACCTTTCTCTCTTTAGCCAAGCCTTGTTCTCCTTAATCAGAACTTTCTCTTGTTAATGAGGCCTTTCTCTCTTTAATCAGGCATTTCTCTCTTTAGCCAGGCCTTGCTCTCCTTGGCCCCTGAGCCAGGCCTTTGTGTCTCTACCTGGGAGCGCAGGACGTTCTTGTAGATGTTGGAGGAGAAGACGGAGGTGGCGGACAGCAGGCCCGAGTCGGTGGAGGACATGACGGCGGCGGCCACGGCTCCGATCCCGACGATGGAGATGTACGGGGGCGTGAGGTACTGGAGGGTGAGGGGCAAAACCAGGCTGTGCTCGCCACGAGCGTGAGGGGCAGGAAGGCCGTACGCCGTCAGGTTCCAGTCTGGAGGAAATACAACCAAAACAGACCAGCTGACACCTGTCGAACGGGGATTTTTACTGTCAACCTCAATAGGAAAATCTGAACTGAGGAATCGTTTCCAGCTTCTGGATGTTTGGCTACAAGCATCCAGAAGCTGCCACCGTTTCCTGAAGGGATCGAGATCCCCCAGACGGATGGCCTGATGGGTAATTACACTTTAGGGGTGGGTAACTCCAGGTCTTAGGACCTCTAGATCCACACGCCTGGTTCAGTTTAGCAGAGCTCCAAAGGGAAACTAAAACCTGCAGGACCTCCAGGACCAGAGCTGCCCACCCACGTTTCAACAGATTAGACATAATCTTACACTCCACATGCTTTTGTGTCTTCTCAGGAGAAGCTGGGTTTCCATTGCTTTGCGAATCAGTTTGACCAAGAACGAGCAAATGAATTGGGAATCGTTCCTGGCCGCCTTCTGTTTGTGTGACACCACACAAGAAACTCTTGAAGACCCACCTCTTCAAAGAGCATCTCCTATCCTAACCCTAACCCGTACCTCTACCCCCCCACAGCTCCTTCTGTGGTCCCTCTACCTCTATCTCTATCTCACCACTGACTCTGATCAGTGTTTCTGCTCTATATAGTTTATTGTCATTGTGATGAGAAATGTAATATTGTGTCTACTCTGTAAGTCGCTTTGGATAAAAGCGTCTGCCAAATGCATAAACATAAAGATAAACATAAACACCACTGAGCCCCCACCTGTGGAGGCCGCCACGGCCCCGACCAGGACCGGAGGGATCCCCAGGACGGCGATGACGAAGGCGGCCGCGTAGCAGGTCCGCTGAGCCGTGGCCGATGAGGCGGCCGACAGCGTCCTCTGGTGGAAGCTCTGGAAGGAAACACTCCCCAGGCCCTGGACAGAAGAAACACAACCCAGCTGAGAGGCCACTCACCCCATCAAAACCGCCAGGGCATCGATAGTGTCCAAAGTCTGTCAAGCCAGCCCGGTTCTGTCTGCCTGTATCTGCTTTTATGACCTGTTTTGTTTAGTCAAAAGCAGGAGCTCCAGCCTCCAAGGCCGCTCAAATCAACTATAGACACCTGCTGTGAAATACATGTTTTTCTGTTCCTTATTTTAACTCTCGGGAAGAAAATAACCAGAAAAAATAGAGAAATTAACCAAGAATACTGCATCATGCATGTGTCAGGAAGAGGAGTGCATTACAAAGAGATAAACATTAAGATGTGTGATAGATAGTGAAATAATCAAACATATTATATTGGGGATTTCTGGTAGTTAAAAGTAGCCAAATGTAGCTGATTTCTTAGCATAACCCTTTAACCTGAGTTTAAAAACAGTTCCTTTCCCACATTGATTCAGATGCTTAATATAATTCAAACTCCTCTTCTGGAGCTCAGCGGCATCACTACTATAATCGTTTTGAATGGATTTGCATCCATAAAAAATAGTTATCCAAGAACTGACAGAAGAAAATATAGGGGAAAAGCACAGAGTAAAAAAAATAGAGGAAAATGATTATACAAAAAAGGGAATGTGGAAAATCTGGCCAAGATGGATGATCACATGAACTGTTAAAGGAAATTTAAAAAAGGTGTGGAGCAACACCTCTGTTGGCCCCACAGGATGTCAGTTTTAGGGAAAAGAGTTGAAGGAAGAGATTTAAAAGCAGTTTCATGTGAAAATGAAAAGCTGTTTTCATGATTCAGAATGAAAAATTGATCTGAAGGAAAACTGTGAGTCCTTTAAAAATAGAGATGAATTTGGGGCCTTTTGGTTCTACTTCAGGAGGGTTGCTGGTTTGAATCCCACCTGGGAGCCTCTCTGGGGAGCACGCATGTCCAAAACATGTCCAATAAAATGCACATTAGCTTAATCTGTGACTCTGATTGCTCAGAGTGAGTGTGCTTGGTTGTTTGGCTCTTCTGGGAATAAGTGGTGCAGAAAATTTGTGGATTTATGAAGGTTCCATCCTTTTCCTGCTGCTCTACTTTGACCTTTCTAATCAGTCTGAGATATATTTCTCTGAGTTTTTTGGGATTTGTAGGAAGAGATAACTCAAACTTATGCACGTATGGTAACATACCAGGCATCTCATGAGACTCAGAGAAGTGTCAGGAGACCCAATCAGACCCAATCAGAGGAGGTCAGACACTCAGGTCCTCCAGTTTTATTCTGTGAGGCATCTTAAGGTTCTGACTGACCAGTTTACATCTGCATTAGATCACTATTACACACAAAACTCACCAGATTGACCAAATAAATGCTAATGTATGAAGAGGGCTGAGGTCACCCAGCCACTTACCAGCATTAGGAAATCGTCGATCCATTTCCAGGCGCTGTCTTTGTCCAGAGTGCCGACCCAAGGCTCCTGAAACACGGGTCTGAAGGCCGTCTGGGCGATATCCACGGAGGTTTTGTTCAGCAGGAGGAAGGGAACGCACAGCCACTGTGGCGGACGCACACAAACAGTTCAGGCTTAAAAAGAGTTTAACAAAATTAGTCAACAACCTGCTAGAGAACAAGAACACAAGTCTTAAATCCCAAAGAGAAGCAGCTAAACGCTCATATCTGTGAAGATTCTCAGTCATGTTCATGGTCAAGCTTGGAAAGTCTAGTTTAGGTTGCTGGAATTGAAGTTTTCTAGAAGATGTTTCGCCAGCCAAGAAGCTTCTTCAGCTCTAACTGATGGTGGAGATCTGAGGTTAATATACTGTAGGTGGAACTAAAGAATTAGGGGGAAACCAAAGGTGGCTCTGGTCCCTCCTGCTGGGGGGGTTAATGGTGGTTTGCAGCTAAACAACCCAAAATAAGTGGAAAAAGCAGAAAAACAACCAAAAATAAGTACAAAAATTAGCAAAAAATACAAAAATAAGTTGAAAATGGGAAAAAACAACCAAAATTAAGTAAAAGAAGTAGCAAGCAACAAACATAAACCAGTAAAAGAAGCAGCAAAACATCGAATAAAAATGTAGAGTCAGGTTAATATACCGTAGGTGGAACTAAAGAATTAGGGGGAAACCAAAGGGGGCTCTGGTCCCTCCTGCTGGGGGGGTTAATGGTGGTTTGCAGCTAAACAACCCAAAATAAGTGGAAGAAGCAGAAAAACAACCAAACATAAGTACAAAAATGAGCAAAAAATACAAAAATAAGTTGAAAATGGAAAAAAACAACCAAAATTAAGTAAAAGAAGTAGCAAACAACAAACATAAATCGGTAAAAGAAGCAGCAAAACAACGAATAAATATGTAGCGTCAGGTTAATACACTGTAGGTGGAACTAAAGAATTAGGGGGAAACCAAAGGGGGCTCTGGTCCCTCCTGCTGGGGGCCATGGAGGTCACCTGGGGGGGGTTAATGGTCGTTAGCATCTAAATGTCCAGAAATAAGTGGAAGAAGCAGCAAAACAATGAAAATATAAGTGAAAGAAGCAGCAAAACAACCAAATATAAGTGAAAGAAGCAGCGAAACAACCAAAAATATGTGGAAAAAGCAGAAAAAAATGAACGAAGTCTCACTCAGCCTTGTGCAGTATGTCTGTAATAGCAGCAGAATGGATCCACACAGTGGGTCCAGTAAAGGGCACGCCTCCTTACCAGACTGAAGAATGCCAGAGCGAGCTGGATGACATCGGTGTAGGCCACCGAATAGAGACCCCCCAACAGGGTGTAAACTATGGCCACGGCCGCCGAGATCCAGGCCGAGTAGATGTAGGGCAGGTCCAGGATCACGCTCATGGTGGCTCCTATCACAAAAACACAGGGTTGGGATCTAAAACTGAAGCGACCGCGTTTCCCGGAGAGCGTGTGAACGCACCCAAACCGAGCAGGGTGCAGGACACCCACAAAACATCCACCAGCAGGCAGGGCAGCACCAGAGCCCCGCTCAGCACTCTGCCGTACTTCTCCTGGAACGGGTCCATCATGGTCACGTACTTCCTGTCCCTCATCGGCTTGGCAAAGAAGAGACCACCTGACGCGGGGCAGCAGATTTCAAATTTGAAAAGTTATTTGTTTCCCTCCTTTTCAAAGTGGAGGCCTCATATCAGTCAGATCGCCTCCAACTCCTACCGATAATGAAGGACAGGGAATACTGGAGAGGCATAAGGGCCCAAATTAAGCCCATTTTGGGGTTGTAAACAGCCTCAGCCACGCCAAGAATAAAACCTCCTCCGACCCATGTAGCTGTAGAGGAAAGGAAAACGGTCTTTAACACTTGGAGACCAAAAGGGACATTTAGAAAATCAGTCTGAGCTTCAGACAAAGCTGGAAAACATGCTTAACTATCAGGTTTTCCTAAATCCTTAAAGCAGTCCATTAGAAAACCATCACTTCTCAGCCCCTGAATGAAACCCACATTCTATTCTAGACTTTGATTTTTTCTTTTTTAAGTTTGAATATGTTGGAAATGATGGTAAAAATGTCAAACGTATCTTTGGGTCCAAAAGGTCTAATCTTAATCTGAGTTTTTCTCATGACGATCTCAGTGGTAATCGTTCATAAAGGCTGTTTTTCGTTGTCAGCTGACGGACTCTTTACCCGTCATGGTGAAAATCCCGACCACCAGGCTGATGTTCCTGTCTCCCAGCAGCACCACCTCCGTCCGGCTGCTGTCGCTCAGCCTCTCGGCCCTCCTGGACTTCTGCGAGGCCCACACTCCTGTGCCCAGAATCAGCAGGTAGAACAGCACCACCGCGATCACGCCGGGGACGTTCAGCGCCATGGCGGCCGCTCTGACCGGGGGGTGGGCCGACGGGCCCAGATGTACACACCATGTAAACAGTGTGGGGGCAAAGGTCAGCACCACAGAGGGGAGCTCCTGTTTTGGGATTTATCCTGAATTCACAAAATTTTGACGCTACCGGCATCCTCTGACAGTTAAAATAAACACGGACAACATAAAAGAAAGCGTCTAATTGCACCTTCGGGCATCTGAAGTCTCCGAAGTCTCGGGTGGTTCCTTCAAAGGCCTCTGAAAGTACAGTTATTAGCCCTTTTTAGCACAGAAATAGCAAAAATACCTAAGAGGACATGAGTATACCCCTCTTGCCCCTATTTTTTGACAGTCAAAGGTCAATTTCAGTTATTTTATTCACAGCCTGATGTACCTCAAGCATTCATTCCTTCTTATTAATCATCAAATCTTCTTGAAAGGGCCTTTCTTTAGCTAACTTTTTACTGATTCACTGATTCAAAACCGTTAATAATTCACATGAAAGAAAGTAAGTATCTAAAGTTAGTAAATGTAAGCCAATTCTAACAGGGGGAAACTAATTTCATGATCTCTGTGCTGGGACAATCTGATTCATGCTAATATAAATGTATGTTTTCACTAGTTTTCGAATTATTTCTTAGTGTTTTTCTTATTAATCTGTCACTTTTCCACAGGATATTGTGCAACATTTCACCACATCTTCTCAGCTGTTTTGTATAGGCATTGTGTAAATTTTGATGTATTTTCCTTAATTTAAAACAAACATTATTTCCTGTTTTGTTACAGTATTTTTTCATATAATGTTTCTGATTTTTCCTAAACGTGGGAACTTGATTTGCATTCTTTTCAACTGTAGATTTGTTTGTTGTATATGTTATTTATTAATCATATATTTTTGTAATTGTCTTTTTTATCGTTGACACCATTGTTATGTATGTTTTTTTTGTTGTTGTTTTTTTTGTACACCAACTAGTCAGCTGGACGAACAACTCAAGCTCCCAGACTTTTAATTATATGATAATTCAGAATAATCAGGCTACTCTTTAAACGCCATTTTGGAATGTGTGAGAGCTTCCGTCAGCATGTGAGGAGGAAGTGTTCAAGGAGAGAAAACGGAGCAATCGAGCGGAGCGGCTGAACCAGGCGAACCGGGGCCACCATCACTCTACTCGTCTGGACTACCCGGGCTAACTTTAGCTACATGTGCTGAGGTGTAGGGGAGAAGCCGAACTGAAATCCAACCATGCCCACAGTGACTTTACCGCCGAAAGAGAACGCTCTCTTCAAGAGGATTCTGGTGAGTCGACCGTTTAAAGGGTTGCGCCACGAGGGGACACGGCTTTAAACCTCCAACGGCCGCCCCCCTGACAGTTAGTGGAGCCGTTAGCTTCAGTTTGTTAGCAACATGGCATCTTTGAATGGGTTGGCTAGCCCGGCCCTGATACGCGCTGTCACTGCAAAGCCCAGGCGGGTGGTCGTAGACCCGTCCGGGGTCTCGAACTGGTCCCGGTGGCGGTAAAGACCGCGGTGACAAAGTGAGAGAAGGAGTAGGCGGTCTTAATGGGCACGAATTGACTCTTGTTTTTTTCCGTTGGTCACACAACAAACGGCAAGTTGTCACGAGCCCCCCTGGAAGCTAGCTCGCTAGCTAGGTAGCAGCCGTTGGAGCTTATAAGTTTGCTTGCACTTTACAAACTTCACTATACTTTTTGAGAAGTTGAAATGTGTGTGTGCTTCCCCCGTGAAACGCAAAACAAGGTTTTGACCGGGGTTTTGGCTCTGGGTCAGCCGGGGACCAAGCTAACCCTTCGTGGGTTTTATATCATGTTTCTTAATCGGCTAGCAGAACCTAGTTAGCTTTGCATTTGCCAGTTAAGTCTGTTTGTTGTCTTGCTTTCTCCGCACTTGTTACAGTTGTTTTCTGAGGCTAGATTGGGATATTGCCTTGCACCGTTAACACCGTAAAGTTAAAGTAAAATCCAAAAGAAGGACCGGTATGATTGTGTCAGCAAATCTGTGGCTGCCTCAGGCCTGCTGCACTCTCGCAGCTACTCGGCCATTCTTGCCTCCTCTCCACGCTCGAATCGTACGCAGCCCTCGGTGTTAATTTGCTGCCTGTGCACGGTTAAATATAGCCCCATCTAGGTAATAATTCCAGTCATCATTTTCAGAGTTGTTGGTGTAAGCGAGCTCCCTTCAGCTCACTCCACGTCGCCCAAGTTGCCCTCCATCTCTGCCATGCTTATCTGTTGTCTTCCTCAGCCTCACAGGCACTTCTAGTCTCAGCTTTCCAGGAGTCGGTGGAGGCAGTGCCCACCTGCACGTCATTAGCTTGTCCAGACCAAACTGCATTGTTTTTCAAAGCCGAGCCCTCAGTTGGGAGTTGGAGGATGCTTATCTGAACATTGACAGTAGACTGGTACTCAGTTTCTGCATCTCTGGCGAAGACAAACAACCTGTGACCTGCACCTGATCTTGAAAAGTATTCACCGCGCACCACACTGCTCCATTGTTTTGGCTTAAACTGATTCTGAACGCACTATTAAGTGAGCTGGATCATAATTCGCACACAACACACACTCAGTCTGAGACTATAATCACAATAGACCCACCATGTCCAAGAAATTATCTTTGGAAAATGGCATATTATCATGATTTACGAGAAAATGTTAGCGGCCAGATAAGTTACACAATTCAATCATTCTCTTTGATAGGGCTATATTAATCCCCGTGGATAAATTAAATTGCCACATTACAAATGACAGGAATAAGTGAATGGTAAGACTTGAAAATCAGCAAAGAAATGTTGCCTTGTTCTCTTACAAAAGCCATTGTAAACCATTTGCATCTTCCTCTAAAGATATGGCTAAAAACAGTTTATTTTGAGGGGACAGGCTGCATTTTAATGATCTTGTTCCGACTTTAGAGTTCACCTGAAAACCAACATTGACACAACAAAAATGAAGCAGTTGAAGGGATTTCTTCTTTTAATGTAAACATAAAAATGATGCCGTCACATGAACAGAAATGCTCAGATAAAGCATCCTCAGCTTTTGTTTGCTTTGTATTTCAGTTATTATAGATACAGATAACTCTGACCATCTTAAAGAAGAAACGCCCTGCAATTTGAAAACAAACCATGTTAACCATCGTGGGTGACTGATGTGGCTGCGGAAGGCTCTGAGGAACTGACCCGGGAGCAGCTTTAAGCTTTTACTTACACCGACAAAGCAAACATGACTGACCTTCAGAGCTTGTTCTAACTCAACCAAACATCCGAGACGGGAACTCCCGCGCACACTGCAGACCTCAGGTATCTGTCACCTTCTAGCTGCGGGCTCTCCTGTGAACATCTGTCGGAATGACAGCAGTTTTAAGGCGTGTAAGCCTTCTTTTCTGGGGTGTCGGCTGTAAAACGCGTCCTCAAACTGACAGATTTAAGCCTTCAAGGAAAACTCGACGGCTTCGATTTCGCTGCTGCCGGTAGCAACGTGCCCAGAGCCAAAGCCAAACCACACCTTTCACATGGTTCTCAACCTGCAGTGGGACGCTTCCAACATCTGAGCTGAAGTTGTTAAATTCACCAGAGTGCAGACAGAACTCACCTGAAGTGATAAACGAGTGAGTGTTAATGTTAGAGCAGGTAAAGCAAGCGAGCTCAAACAGTTTAAAAGACTAATCGTGACAGATTTGTCGTTTAAACAGTTTGATACTCGAGGAAACCACGAAGGTTTACAGAACTAATCTATTAAAACGACTGTGGTTTAAGTTCACTCTTAACTTTCTTTGATTTGCAGGATTTCTTTTCTAAATCATTTTGCAAAGTGTTATAAGTCTTTATTTAAACCACAACTTGGACTACTATTGTGTGTCTGTTTTTGTTACGTCATCCTGTGCTGACAGGAATATACAGCAAATGTCACAATTACCTTTTTTATTACGCCGTATCTAACAGACCAAGTAAAGACCAAATCTACTGGTGAATGTTCACCCAGCAGGAAGTGAAAAGTTTCCAAAACTTGTGCCATAACGGCCTCCCTCCTTCCACCGGTGCTGAGTACGGGCTTTGAAATCCAGGCCTGGCACACGCCTCCCTTTGTCGGGAACCCTGCAGTCCGGAGCCACATGCTGGGGCAGATTTTTCTGTGTAACTCAGGGGGCAGAGTTATTTTGGTAGAGAACATGCTGGGTAAGCACAGCTGGTGGCGCAAATGTTGCTAAATTTATGTTAAATGCACAGCAGCCTGCAGATCAGACGTCTGGCAGGAGAAGGCTGAACTCGCCTCCATGTCAGGAACTGAAGCTCCTCGCTATTAATGGGAACTTTGCATAATGCTTCTTGTTGTGCTACTGATTTGGTTTGCGCAGGGGTGTTTTTATTCCTTTCCCGTTTGGCCTGCACTGCTTTTTTTTTCTTATTTAAATTCATCCCATCTCCTCCAAACCCAGCAGCTCGTGTTTCATTCCATCTGTTTGCTGTCAGTTTCCCCGCGAAGACCAACTCCAAACTCCATCCAGATGCTTTTATGGGCAACTTTTACAATTTTGTGTGTATAAACTAGGAGCTCGTTTCTGTGAAAACGCAGTTTTGTGTTTTAAACTTGGCTCTTTATGCACCAGAATGCACAATATTTACACACACGTCCGACTTCTGTCTTCTTTCTGGACCAGTTGGGGGCCTATAGGGGGCAGTGGGCCTCCTGTCCTCCTGGTTCTTTTGAGTGGCATAACCATCCTTGAATATATTTCATACCCTTTTTCTGTTTGTCTTCCACCACTGGCCTCCCTCCACCAGAGAAGCTGCTGGTGGTGGTGGAGCCGGGTAAATGCCATCTGCCGGCTTAGCCCCCCCCCCCCTCTCTGCTGAAAACACACGGCCCGGCCTGGCAGTCACTAATCAGCTTAACAACAGAGGTGCTGTGCTGTTTGTGGGACTGCTTCCCGAAATAAAAAGCACAGAGTCTGGACTCGGGTTTTGGTTTTTTCTGCCGCGCTGGTTTCGCCGATCGGCGCTTTATCCTGTGAACGCGGAAGGAAGACGCATGCTTATTACACAGCGTTGGGTTTTTGATGTCACAACTAAGAGATGTTCACCACCCACAGAGTTTGACTACAACTTTTAAGTGCTGACTCATTCAGATGTTGTTGAGGCCTTAAAAGCTGCACAAAAATGGCGTCCCCCCCCTTTTTTTTTCACATGTAGGTTTTTTGTCAGCTTGTTCTATTACTTAAAGTTACTGAAAGTTGTGTAGAAAACTAGAAATAAAAGAACAGTATGTCTGTTTACATGCGTCTGTCATTAGGGAAGGCTGTAAATAAGTGGGGTGTGCTGCACTTTTCTCCGTTTGGGACTGTTACACATAATTTAAAATGGTTTGTTTCTTTCTCCCACTATGAGCTCATTCCCTCCCTTAGTCAAATTTCCCTTTATGTGTGTAGTACTCTTACACCAGTTTCTTATTAATGCCCTTTTCTGATAAATCAGTACACTTCTAACTTCCAATACCTCCATCATTATTTATGTTCTCTGCTGTTTTCCAAAAGTTGACTTTCCTTGGATATAACGTCTCCTGTAACACTGGAGAAGCCCCCCCAGCTCGTTTAGGTCTTTTATGAACGTTCCCAAACTGGCCGGGGGGCTTTTGCTTCCTGCATCACTGCAAAATCTTTTACTTTATGAGCTCTGGGTCTTTTATTACTTGTTTTTAGTCTCTTAAAAACAAACTAACAGTTCACTCACCACATTCATTTAGTTTAGCAGGTTAATTTCCATAAGCAAATGAATTCATTTCCATGTCTAACTTAGTCCTAAAGTTCATAGTCATTGAAAGGATTTTAGTCTTCTTTATTGTATGCAGATGGGATTGTTTTTTAGCAGGTGGTTATTGGTGGTTTTCAGCCTGTTCTGCTGAGTTTAAAGAGTTTGGATGAAGTTGGTACCCTGGATGGGCCTTTTTCTTCCCCCTGAATTTAACATATTTCTCCTTTTTTTTTTTTTTTAACAGCGATGTTACGAGCACAAACAATACAGAAACGGGCTCAAGTTCTGCAAACAGATTCTGTCAAACCCCAAGTTTGCAGAGCATGGAGGTAAGCGGGGGAGTGTTGGCGGGTGGAGGACGGGCCCCCTTCGGCTCAGGCTTCAGTCTGCGGCGTCCTTTTCCCTCCGCAGAGACTTTGGCCATGAAGGGTTTGACCCTGAACTGTCTGGGGAAGAAGGAGGAGGCCTACGAGCTGGTGAGGAGAGGCCTGCGCAACGACCTGAAGAGCCACGTCTGTATCCTGACACCTGGCCGGGTCCTGAGAATAATTTGATACAAAGCGTGTGGTGCAGCTGCTTGTGATGTGGAGGAGCCTCTAGAGCTGCTCTGTGACCAGAAGAGTGCTTTATTAACCTAAAATCCAGCTCAGACCTGAGCATTTACTGCATGTTTTTCGTTCAGATGTTGTTTCATCTTTACATCTGCTCATAAGTAGACAGTAGTGTGTAATAGATTCCACAAAAATGAGTTTATTTAGATGTTTTTGTTGTTGTTTTTTGGGATTGTGAGCCAAAAGCTGAAGCCTGGAAGTTTCCTGTCAGCTTTTTTACTTTCTAATGAATTAGTCATCTGAATGTCTCTCTGGATTCTGCTGTGCATAATCTTCCTTTTTAAAGAACTGCTCAGACGGGAGCGGGTGGCGTGTATGCTCCTTAACCCCCCCCCCGCCCCCGTGTCCCAGGCTGGCACGTCTACGGCTTACTGCAGCGCTCGGACAAAAAGTATGACGAGGCCATCAAGTGTTACCGCAACGCTCTGAAGTGGGACAAGGACAACCTGCAGATCCTCAGAGACCTGTCCCTGCTGCAGATCCAGATGCGGGACCTGGAGGGCTACAGGGTGAGGGTCCGGGTTTAACCGCCTGTTCAGGGAGACCCAAGAAAAGGGAGAACTTCCAACAAGTGAAGAAACAAAGTGAGGTGCAGGGAAAAGGTGTTGAGCAGGAAGTAAGAGGCCTGTGTCCCCCCCCCCCCCCGTAGGAGACGCGGTACCAGCTCCTCCAGCTGCGTCCAGCCCAGCGCGCCTCCTGGATCGGCTACGCCATCGCCTACCACCTCCTGGAGGACTACGAGATGGCGGCAAAGATCATCGAGGAGTTCAGGAAAACACAGCAGGTCGGAGGGTTTTCTCAGAAATGGAAACGTAAAGAAACCGGTAAAAAAAAAAAGAAGAAAAAGCCCAGAATAGGAAGCGATTTGTGCTGCCCCAGTGTGCCTGACGTAGTGCATCGGGCACATGAACAGAGCTCTTCCTCTCTGGTTCTGGCGTAGTCCTGATAAGACCCGTGTGCTTCCTGCCTTTGTGCCCTCCGCGTTCTCCAATGAGCGGCTGGGATTTAACGAGGCCTCGTTTGGAGTTTCCTGAGCGGCACAAACCAAAATCCAATGACCCTAAGGTGTTAAACGGTTCCAGTCGGCCATCCCAAAGCTCACGCTCGCCTGTTGTTGTTTTTTTTGGGGGGGGGTCTGCCAGACATCTCCAGACAAAGTGGACTACGAGTACAGCGAGCTGCTGCTGTACCAGAACCAGGTCCTGAGAGAAGCCGGTCTCTACAAGGAGGCCCTGGAGCACCTCTCCAACTACGAGAAGCAGATCTGCGATAAACTGGCCGTGGAGGAGACACGAGGTGGGTCATTTCCTTCTCCCATCCTATCCACAACGCCTCATAAGAGTCATCCAACTACTTTTATGAACCAGAGCTGGCAGACGGGCATTTATATGCCAGGTCTTAGTGGTTTTGAAGGGAAGGTTTAGTTGAACTGGCAGACAGCTGGACTTTGGTTCGCATCAGGTGAGATGATGCTGGTTTTTATTTGCAGGAGAGGTGCTGCTGAAGCTGGAGCGTTTGGACGAGGCCACAGAGGTGTACCGCCGCCTACAGGAGAGGAACCCCGAGAACTGGTCCTACTACCACGGCCTGGAGAACGCCCTGAAACCCGGTACTGACCCTGGATGGGAGGCGCTTAGCTCAGCTGAACGCATTCCCCCGTTTTTACAATTTAATCTGTTTTGTTTTTATCAGGCAGCGTAGAGGAGAGACAAAAGATCTACGAAGATGCCTGGGAGAAGTTCCCCAAAGGCCTGGTCCCCCGCCGGCTGCCCCTAAACTTCCTGTCAGGTACTGGACGCCGCACGCCGGTCGGACGCCGGCCGGTCGGAGCCGCGGTGTGACGCTCTGCTCCTGTTCCCGCACAGGTGAGAAGTTCCGGGAGTGCCTGGACCGGTACCTGAGGATGAACTTCAGCAAAGGCTGCCCGCCCGTCTTCACCACGCTGAAGTCGCTCTACAACGACAAAGAAAAGGTGGCGCCGCCTCAGCGTCCGTCCGGCCGCCGCCGAGCTGCCGGCCGGCCGGACAAACGCTGACCGCTGTCCTGTGTGCAGGTGGCCATAATCGAGGAGCAGGTGGTCGGCTACGAGACGTCGCTAAGGAGCTGCCGCATGTTCAGCCAGAACGGTGAGCAGGGGGCTCCGGCCCCGGTTCTGAACCCGAGCCGGAGCACAGCTGAGAGTTTGCTCTGTGACAGATGACGGGAAGGAGGAGCCCCCCACCACCCTGCTGTGGGTGCAGTACTTCCTGGCTCAGCACTACGACATGATTGGCCAGCAGACGCTGGCCCTGGAGTACATCAACGCCGCCATCGAGAGCACGCCCACCCTCATCGAGCTCTTCCTCATCAAAGCCAAGATTTACAAGGTACGGAGCGCCGTGCGCGCCCGGCTGTGCACGGCCGCCGCCTCGGTCTGACCTCTGACCTCTGCCCCCCCCCCCCCCCCCCCCCTGCAGCACGCCGGGAACATCCGAGAGGCGGCCCAGTGGATGGACGAGGCCCAGGCTCTGGACACCGCCGACCGGTTCATCAACTCAAAGTGTGCCAAGTACATGCTGAAGGCCGGCATGGTCAAAGAAGCCGAGGAGATGTGCTCCAAGTTCACCCGGGTGAGAACCGAGCCCCCCCCGCCCCACGGCCCCGTTGTTGTGTCCTTCAGCCCCCCCAGTTATTTCTGACTGAGTCTACAGGGGGGTGACTGGTTAATGTGGCCGTTGGGCTTAAATCGGGTATTAGATGTTTCACCTGATTTAGATGGAAAAGAGGTCTTTATCAAAAGATATAGTTCATAAAAAGCCTGCCGATGGTGCGTTTATGTGGCCGTTGGGCTTTAATGGGTATTTAATGGGTATTAGATGTTTCACCTGTTTCACCTGATTTAGATGGAAAAGGGCTCTTCATTAAAAGATAAAGTTCTTAAAAAGCCTGTCGATGGTGCGTTTATGTGAATCGGGAAATGTAAAAGCTGCCGGCCAGGGCCAGAGTTTGATTAGTCCAACACGGGGTTAAAAGGATGATGGGAGGATGTGATGCAGCCTAATTTAACAGCACAAATAGGGTCCAGTTTTTTCCTTTTCCCGAAGAGTTCCCGACTTAAAAAGGCTAATTTCGTCTATCTGGTGTTTTCAGGAGGGAGCGTCTGCTGTGGAGAACCTGAACGAGATGCAGTGCATGTGGTTCCAGACCGAGTGCGCGCTCGCCTACAAATCCATGAACAAATTCGGAGACGCCCTCAAAAAGTGCCATGAGATCGAGAGGGTGAGTTTTCCTCCTTTTTCCGTCTCCTCCCGACCGACCGGCTCGTCTGAACTTTTTCTGGTTCTTTTTCCTGCCATCAGCATTTTGTGGAGATCACGGACGACCAGTTTGACTTCCACACCTACTGCATGAGGAAGATGACGCTGCGCTCCTACGTGGACCTGCTGAAGCTGGAGGACGTCCTTCGGATGCATCCCTTCTACTACAAGGCCGCCGTCACCGCCATCCAGATCTACCTGAGTCTCCATGACAACCCGCTGACCGACGACAGCAAAGAGCTGCAGGCCGACACTGGTGAGGGCCGTTAGCCATCGCTAGCCGGTGTTAGCGGCTGTTAGCCGCCGCTAGCTGCTGTTAGCCGCCACTTGCTGCCCTTAGCTGTCATTAGCCGCTGCTAGCTGCTGTTAGCCGCCTCTAGCTGATGTTAGCCATCACTAGCTGCTGTTAGCCACCGCTAGCTGCCATTAGCTGCCGTTAGCCGCCACCAGTTTGGGCCACCTCTAACCCCCCCCCTCCCCGGCTTCCCCCCTTTAGCCAACCTGTCGGACAAAGAGCTGAAGAAGCTGAGGAACAAGCAGCGAAGAGCCCAGAAGAAGGCGCAGCTGGAGGAGGAGAAGAAGAACGCCGAGAAGGAGAAGCAGCTTAAGAACCAGAAGAAGAAGAAGGAGGACGACGACGAGGAAATCGGGGGGCCCAAAGAGGAGCTCATCCCTGACAAGCTGGTGAAGGTCAGTGAAACCAGAGCGACTTGGCAGGAAATGGGAGGATGAGACAGCGGCATCTATTTTGGCTCGCTCAGCTCCACTGACATCCTTTTTATGCCTCTCACAGGTAGAAAATCCACTGGAGGAAGCCGTCAAGTTCCTGATGCCTCTCAAACACCTGGTCAAAGACAAAATCGACACACACCTGCTGGCCTTCGAGATCTACTTCAGGAAAGGTTCGATCAGATCGCTGCTTCAGTGACCCGTTTGTTTATGTACCCTTCCTTCCAGTTCAAAGAGACAGTGTGAAGTATTTTAAGTATTTTATTAGCTAAAATAATTATCCTCATTTCTAAATGTGTCCTCATTTGGTGTAAAATGACCTCTGCAATGATCTGACTTCTCCTCATAAGGAAGAATTTCTTATCTGTACATACACAGGACGGGTAAGTCCATGGATGTTTCCATGGCGATCCGACATTTTGAAAAACTATAATGGTAGAGAGGGACATAAAGCACTAGTCTGCCTGTCTAGTTGATCCACAACGCGTTTCTTTCAGAATCACCTGACTGAAACCAGCTCTTCGTTTGTCTGTTGTGTGTCCAGCTAACGCTAGCTACGACACAAGCTAGTAACGGCAAGCTACAAACAAAAACAAACTAACATGGCAATGTAATTTGCCATCTTGTTGGAGGAGGAATTACATTCTCACACTAATGATCCAATGCAGTTTGTAGTTTATTTAAAATTTTAAATCCCAAACCTCATCACCAGAGAAAACTCCATGATGGTGAAGTCATGCTGTCATTACTTCTTGATGCCTGACGGCTAGCATAGCTGCAACACCCATTTAGAAATGGAGGCGCTAGAGAGCAGATTTGTTAGGTTTCCCCGTTAGCTGGAGGGATTCCTTTTAACGTTGCGTTGTCTGTCATCTCAGAAAAGTACCTGCTGATGCTCCAGTCGGTGAAGCGGGCGGTGGCCATCGACCCCGACCACCCGTGGCTGCACCAGTGTCTGGTGCGCTTCTTCAAAGGAGGTCTGTATCTCCCCCCGTCCCCCCCTCTGCCCAGGCCCCGCCTTCATCACCCCTCACCCCGTCCTCCCCCTTTCAGTGTCGGAGAGCCAGGAGCTGCCGGAGGTGGTGCGGACGGTGCTGAAGCAGGAGATCACCCGGCTGTTCGGGGACAGCAACGCCAGCAGCTTCAACCAGGCCTACCTGGGCCGCCACTCGGGCTCCATCCCGCACCGGCTGGCCGGTGAGAGAGCTGACCTCATCAAACGCAAACGTTCCACCTTTGGAACAGCGAGTCGGCTCCTTCTTCATTCCTACGAACAGCACAGGGAACAGATTTAACCCCAAAGCCTTTCGCTGTTTGGGTGGATTTGATGAGGTTGGGCTAGGCTCGTCCCGATCCGATATCTGGACCAGATCGGACACCCATATTTGCAAAAAAAATGCGTATCGGCCAGCAGGAGAAAAA